GTATTTCTACTGGACAGTGCCATCCTAGAGTTACTTATTTTGTACCTCTCGCCTTTCATTTCTGGAGTCTTGATGACAGGGGCTGCAGAACTCATTTCAGTCATTTGAGGCTTAAAAGACAGCACTCAGCCTATACACTGCCTGCGCTTGGTTTATTTATTTTAAGTGTGGGCTGTTCACACCCATGGAAGGAGAAGATGAGGAGAACATTTTTTTTTGCCTGTTTAGCACCGGATTCCTCTGAAATCAAATCTTTCTGACCAGAACATAGCAGCTACTTTGCTGTGATCCCCACGATTGATCTTTCCTTTTAAACTGGGGGGTGTGCAGACAGAGCTGGTGGGAAAAGAGTTCTTTGCTCTTCTGCCCACGGTCCGTTCTGGAATTCCCAGTGGCCTTTGAAATGTTTAGGAAACTGTTCACTGACCCTTCCACCTGCTGGAGAACCCGGAGCCTCGGTTCCCCTGCTGTTGTCAGCAACTGTTGTTGACAAGTCTCTGAACTGTCACGAACCCAGGAAAAGGTCACGGTCTCAACTCTTAAGGAATTTGGGAAATCCAAAGGGAGGCCGACTTTCTGACCTGTGAGGAAATGACCAAACTGAGTACCCAAGCCAGAAGGTGTGGCTCAGTCTCGAACAGCAATCTCAAGCCGGAGAAGGGAGAAGCTGCAGGGTCTGCTGTGTTTGGGGAGGGTTCTTTGAATGTAGGCACAGTGGCCTGGAGGGACAGTAGGTTTTGGATTGTTCTAAGTCAGTGGTTCTCAACCTTCCTAATACCACGACCCTTTAATACAGTTCCTCGTGGTGTGGTGACCCCCAGCCATAAAATTATTTTGCTACGGTTATGAATCGTAATGTAAATATCTGTGTTTTCCGGTGGTCTTAGGCGACCCTGCTAGCCGTTCTCAAGGTATGGGTTTCTATCCACAGGTTGAGAACTGCTGCTGTAGAGCCTGAAACCATTGGAAAACACAGATATTTACATTATGATTCATAACAGTAGCAAAATTACAATTATGAAGTAGCAACAAATATAATTTTATAGCTGGGGGTCAACACAACACGAGGAACTGTACTAAAGGGTCGTGGCATTAGGAAGGTTGAGAACCACTGCTCTAAGGTGTGGGTGTAGGTAGAGGAAGAAATGGGCGCCGCCTGGCCAAGGCAGGGGACTGGGAGGTGTGGGGTAGCCCCCTGGGGATCAGTCACAAGTAAGTGTAAGAGAGGTGGGGGGCAGGGACAGATGCTAGGTACCTGGAGCTGGGTTTGATTCGGGGGGAAGCCAATGGTGTGTTCTTGAACGGAGGTGAGAAAGAGCTGGACCATGCAAACCCAGGCTTACCGCTCCCACGGACCGGCAGAGAAGTGCCCATCCTCTCTTTGCCTAAGTGTGGAAAGTGGCACATTGGCAGGACATTAAACCATGTAATGAACCATTATGTAGCCCTTACTCTGTGGCACTTTATTTTGAAATAAATACATAATTCTAAAATAAATACATAATCACATTGTGGCGAGAAAACTATTTCCCACTTACAGTGGCCAATTTAAGGAAACATGCGAAGTTAATGAGACTCTACAAGGCAGGTGGATATTGTAAAGCCTAAAGGTTCTCACGCTGCATGTAGCAGACGAGTGGCTGCGGCCAGAGGCCCCGGGTCTGCACACAGCAGGTTTACGAAGCAGAGGCAATGCAGGGTGGTCAGAGGGTGGAGAAACAGTGGTAAGGAGCCCTAACCGGTTTGGTTCAGTGGATGGAGCATCGGCCTGCGGACTGAAGGGTCCCAGGTTCGATTCTGGTAAAGGGTATGTACCTTGGTTGCGGGCATATCCCCAGTAGGGGGTGTGCAGGAGGCAGCTAATCAATGTTTCTCTCTCATTGATGTTTCTAACAATCTATCCTCTCCCTTCCTCTCTGTAAAAAGCTCAATAAAATATTAAAAATTTAAAATAAAATAAAAAAGAAACAATGGCAAGGAGGCCAGTTAGCCAACTTCCAGGAGTGAGAATGGAGAGGAAACAGGAGAGGCATCGGCTGGGCCATTGCTCAGGCAGCTGTTGCACGTGTCTGCCTGGAGTCATCTATGATGCCCATTTCGGGCACAGAATCCTTGTGGGCGGCAATGGTTCTGTACAGAGAACGTGGGCAGGTCCCAAGAGCTAACTCCTGATGGAAAGCTGACATTTATCTGACAGCGGACCACACCCTATATTCTAAGTCCTTCAATCACCCTCTTTCATTCCTCACAACAACCCAGTGCACTGTCTGCCATTATTCCCTGCTGAGGGGGCTGAGGCTCCTAGAGGTTAAACTTGCCCAAGGCTACGCGGCTGGGAAACTCAAACCCAAGTTCATCTGACTGCAAGGCCTTTCACCAGCACATATACTGCCTCCTTCTTGGTTGGCACTAACGGCATCTTGCGGCACGTCCTGTTTCTCACATTTCTCCCTCATTTAACCTAGGATATGGGTTTCTATGACGAAGCTTGGAATTGGATTCATCTCTCTAAGCACCAGAAGCCACAGCCATTCTCCAGCCCATAAACGCCATTCCTAACCCCTGTGCAGCATATTCATAGATCTGATTCCATGGTTAATATCGTCATGAAAGTGGCTCTCCTTGGCCCTTTAAGAAGATCATTAATCACTAACTATAGACCACAGCTCGTTCTTTTCCACCCTCCGCATGCTGCTTCCCCCCATTGTGTGATGCCATCTGGTGCTATGAGATCATGCTTTTTGTGTTCCTTCTCCGAGAGCCAGATTCATTGCTCTCTAAACCCGGAGAGCCAGTGAATTCCAACGGCGCGCCTGGCTTTGAAAAACATTTGAATCTAATGCCTCCTTGTGGACTTGCACAGTATGACGCTTGACCATACCATCACATGGAACTTCTGTCTTACCCACCATCCGGGTACATGCGTCCATTCCATCTTTTTTTTATTTTTATCAAAAGGACTTCATTTGTCTTTGGTAAGCCATCAAGAAACTACAGGTCTTTCTTGCGTGATCTGTGTTCAGCTTCATGTGTCAATTGCGTGTGTGTGCTGGAGGAAGCCAGACCTTGATCATATGCTTTCCTCTTGTGATCTGTTAGACTTTTGGCTGCGACAGTGGAACAAGCTTTGCAGTACAAGGACATGAAACAGCACATGGCAGGCCTCTGACACGTCTGCTGATCTGTCCTTCACTCCTACTGTCCCTTCCAATTCTGCCCGAAGTCTCTAATCGTCTCCAAGGAAGGGGAGCATCGGAGCTGGAGAACATTTTCTTGCAAACTCAGCTGAGGAGCCTTGGGCTCACCACCAGACCCCCAGCCTCCAGGGTCTGTGAGCACTGTTGGTTACTCCTGACCAGGGCAGACCTTGCCACTCTCCCCGCCTCCTTTCTCTTCTCACTTCAGGGGATCCTGGCAGGTTAAATTTAGCCTGGGGGCCTGGTGGGGAAGGAACAGTACCCGTAGTGATATGTGCACTGCTTACTTCATTCTTGGCACCGGCTGGACTCCCCTAGGGGGAGAGGGAGGGGGAAGGCTGCTCCCCTCCTTTCTGCTACTCTCCCTGCCCACTGGGATTGCGCCTGTTCCCAGCAAGAGTCAGAGGAGGATCTGGGCCTGAGGATATTTGCGATGATATAAAAGGGACCCACACACTTCCTTCCCTAGCACAGGAGTTGTCCCACAGCCAGCCCCCCTGAGTCTAGAGCAATTTCTCCCCAGTTCACACCCCATCACCAGCATTAGGTATTATACTTACTGAAATTCCACTGATTATCTTGCATTTATGAGGATTTTTTTTTTTTTTGAACAGCTGCCAGGATTAAAGGATGAACATTCACCCACATCTCTTAAAATTAATCTAATCAGATTGCATTTATCCCAGCAACTGACCGAGATGATTTACCATTCAAGAAGGAAGTCCTGTTGTGTTTTAATTTGAAGGGAGGGTAGATACTCTTATAGGTTTCAGAAAGCTTTAGGGGGAAAATAGTCCCATATTAAGTTATTCAGTAGAAGTATGGGTTGGAAGGGAGGACAGCAGAAGGTACTAGATAAAGTAATGGATATGCTTGGCTTGCCCATTTCAAAATATTGTGCCTCGGGCAGGGAATTTTTCAATATCACCCTTTCTGTCAGGACCCAGAGTCCAGTTCAGTGAAATTCATGTGTAGGAATTATGTCATGTGGCCTGGGGTTAAATATGCTCTTGCAATTGCCTGAAGACCTAATCACCACCTCAGCTGCCTAGCAGAAGGTGGTCTTTATGGAAAAATGTCTCTGGTTTCCAAAAAACACACTTCCTAATGAACTTTTTGATGCAATCCATATGAGAGTTAAGGGTTGGACCAGATTCAGACCTATGCAATTTATCTGTGTTAACTTACTATTTCAAGCTCATTTCTCCCAACCATCTGTATACTTTTAGGTCATTTCCTCTTGAGGAGTTTTGCATTTAGTTAACACAAACTCTGTTGACATGCAAGAAAAGGAGTTTAGGTCTTTATCCAATTGAATACATTCAAAAATGAAACATGGAGTTTTATTTTAAAAAGGTGGCTCACTGTTGCCCTAACAGGTTTGGCTCAGTGTATAGAGCATCGGCCTGCTGACTGAAGGGTCCCAGGTTCGATTCCGGTCAAGAGCATGTACCTCAGCTGCGGGCACATCCCCAATGGGGGGGATGGTGCAGGAGGCAGCTGATCGATGTTTCTCTTTCATCGATGTTTCTATCCTCCCTTCCTCTCTATAAGGGAGCAATAAAATATACTTTTAAAAAAAAAAAGGAAGCACACTGTAAAAAAAGAAAAGAAACACGATTTAAAAAATTATTTCATATTTTAGGTTTTTACTGCTCTGACTGGCCTCTATTAATGAAAATAATTGAGACACTCCTACACTCTCCCCCATCCCACTCAGTCTGGAAGACGTTCCTCGGCCTGGGGCCTCCAGAACTCTATTACAGATGCAACTACTAAATCGCATCTCTTGTTTGCCTCCAGGTATTGCGCAGCGGTGCACGGCGATCAAGTACCACTTTTCCCAGCCAATCCGCTTACGAAACATCCCTTTCAACTTAACGAAGATCATCCAGCAGGATGAATGGCATCTGCTTCGTGAGTACTTCTGGGGAAGGGCCGGAGAGAAAACGGTGTCTTTCTGAACAACAAGTATTCATAGGCTTGGACGGAAAGATGCTGTGTGGTGATCCTGCATGGGCCTCGGGGCCAACTCAACTTGGTCAAGACTCAGGGAGTCGTTTCCCTGTGCCGTGGTCACACCTCGCTGACACATCAACTGTGTGCAAACCAGGCATAAGGCTTCCCATAAGACAGTGCGGCATGCGTGGTGCTTCCTGAGTCCTTTCTCTCCTGAATCCTCAGGAATAAGGACCTGCAGGTGTAGGGCCACTTGTCTCCGTACACCAAGGAGGTTGCACCTTCGGTCCTGTTTCTGTTTGGCTTCTACGCTATTCCTTGTAGCTGCTGTGTCTGTCTCAGACCCTGGTGTTTGTGCTGCCCTGTTTGTATGAGCGTATGTCATATGCTTCTCAGAGGGTGCCTGTTACCTCTGCATTTCAACGGCAGATTGCTCCCCTTTTTCAGGTTAGGAAAACGTGAAACCCTAGAAAGGACCATGCAAGGTGATGCTTTAAGAGGGCTGATGTTTCCTTGAAAACTGTTGGTCTATGCTGCCTGGTGAGAGATAACTCGGGAAAGCAAAAAACGAATGCATCTAACAGCCTAGCCCAGGTGTACACAGACCTGCCCCAAGGCCTGCAGACCTATCTTCTTTGGGACCTATTGTTTTAAGAAGCTAACAATTTTAAAAATTGGCTTTGTTAAAAAAAAAAAAAAAAAAAAAAAAGCAGAGGGAAGGAAGGAAGAGAACAGAAAGAAGCAAAGCTGGCAGGACAGTCTGAGTGCTGCTGTAGGGTAGCAATCAGAGTGGAAAGGGGTCCAGGTCCATGAGGACAATCCGCCTCTTGGTCTTGCCTAGAAGATGGGGGAGGGGCTGTGTACCTGGCCCAGCGATCACAGTTGTGTTTTTGTGTTAGACCAACCCTGACAGCTGTGGATGCAGTGGGAGTAGCCCCTCCTTATCCTGGGGCCCGTGTGTAAGGGGGGAGGGTGGCTGTGAGCAGATGCCTCCCTATGCACATTGTGGGTCCTCTATCAGTCACCACAATGGCCTTCACTTTCTCCAATCCTTTTTGAAAATAGGCAGGAATCGATACAAATGGAAAAGAAAGTAGCTGGCATCCGTGGTGCTCAGGTGGAGCCATATTTCACTATAACTCGCTTTTCAGGCTCCTTCTCCAAAGGCAGATTAATCACAGCCGTTGCCGTGGCGGAAACCTGCATTTCTGTTGCACTTGTAGAGATAATGAAGATATTTTGCACACCTGCCTTGCTCTCAGTGTACTCAGGGACTTGCTATCTGTTATCCACGTTGACCCTGGCGCCGTCCTCTGGTCTCTCAGTAGACTTCTCCGGACTCACAGAAGGGTAACTCCGACCCCTCGGGGTGTGACACCCCATCTGTCCTCTTAGGAAGTGGGAAGAAAGGGCCCTAAACCTCGATCGTGTAGGCCCTCAGCCTGTCTGTGCAACTTGTTAATTTTCATAACGTACACAATGCTCTTCTTTCTCCAGTTTTCAAGGACTCTCCTTCTGCTCATTATGTCGGATGTGTGTTTGTGTTTCGAGATTAGATCTGAGAAGAATCACTGCCGGCTTCCTGGGCATGGCTGTGGCCGTCCTGCTCTGTGGCTGCATCGTGGCCACGGTCAGCTTCTTCTGGGAGGAGAGCCTGACCCAGCACGTGGCCGGCCTCCTGTTCCTCATGACAGGTACGTGAGCCCCTCGGCGCCTTTCCCCGCCAAAGGGAAGGCCGCTCTGGAAGCCCCTGGCTTCCCTTGGTGATCGCTTCATTTATTCTGTTTTCACTTGTGAGAAAAGTGGCCCGAAGAAAGCTCCCTGGGCATGGGTGGGTAATAGAGAATTTAAAGAAACAACAGTGTTCAAAATGCACTCCCAATTTCTTCCTTGTGGCCCATTCGAAGGTTGGATGGAAATATCTTGGGTTTGAACTCCATATGAATCAGCTCTGATTTTTCTAAACCATTTTTGCATACGCACCCATCCCTGACCGGACTCTCGGCAAACAAGGAGCCCTGAGGAGAGAGAGGGTCATAGATCTGCACAGCCCATCCTCCCCCCGCCCCCCAGGCTGAAAGTCAACTCCAATGACATCCCTTAGTGATGGGGTCATCGGTGTCATGTTTTGACACGAAACCTTCATTCGTTTCACCCCACACATGGTTTTTGAGGACTCACTGTGTACCACACACTGCTCTAGGTACTAGAGACACACAATGAACGAGGCTCTTGGCCGGCAAACTGTGGCTTGAGAGCCACATGGGGCTCTTTGGCCCCTTGAGTGTGCCTCTTGCACAAAATACCACGGCTTGGGTGAGTCTGTCTGTTTTGAAGAAGTGGCATTAGAAGAAGTTTAAGTTTTAAAAATGTGGCTCTCCAAAGAAATTTCAATCATTGTACTGTTGATATTTGGCTCTGTTGACTAATGAGTTTACCGACCACTGAACTAGGCAGACAAAATCCTTCTCCATTTTTGTTGTGGAGAGATATAAACTATTTATGAGAGTGGTAAAAGCTAGGAAGAAAATAAACAGAGTGGAATAGGGGAACCCGGAAGGTCTCCCTGAGGTAGCGATTTCTGAGCTGGTCCGGAGGATGCTGCAGCTGAAGAGAACGGGAGTGGGGTGAGGATGGGGGGCTGGGGCAGGCGTATTTTGCACCACAGAAAGCAGACTGGTGTGGCTGGGGGCAGGGGAAGAAAGGGGAGGATCACATGAGAAGCAGGCGGTGGCTTGGATTTAATTTGTTAGTGATGGTCGTTACCAGAAGGTTGTAAGCAGAGGAGTGACTTTGTCTTAAATCAGGAGGTTGGAAGGGGGTGGGTGGAGGGTGGAGGTGGAGACACAACTATGGCTTTTTTGATTAGCAGGACAAGGACATTTTCGTCTGAAAAGGAGTCAGGGCGAACACTGAATGCAGGGAAGAAATCTTCCCACCTGTCCCTTATCTTATCCTAACCTATATATAAAGAGCTAATGTGCTAATTAGACTGAACAGCAGAACCCATCCAGAGGACTGATTGTCCGGATAGTCTTCCTGACAAATCTGGGGCTGTGAGGGCAAAGTCCCTTGCATGAATTTCATGCATCGGGCCTCTAGTTAGAGAATAAGAGGTCTGGAACAGCAAAGAATCACAAAAATAAAAATTAGTGTATGCATGATTTGTGAATGCCAAATTAATAGTGTCACAAAGGATACTCTAGGTAAGTGGCCATTTATAATAATAAAAGCATAATATGCAAATCGACTGAACAGCTGAACAGTGGAACGACCATCCATCCTTCTGGACGACCTTCCACTGCAGGCATGGGGTTGAAGCAGCTGCTGCAGCTGTGAGGGAGAGATCGAGGCACCATCCCTGCTGTGAAGGCCTACTCTTGCATGAATTTCACTTATTTCTGGAGTTCTGTTACTCAAGTGACCACACCTGGGTTTTCTAGCAATTCTTAGGGTAGTGGTCACCCACACAAGCCTTGTTAACTAGAGGCAGCAGTGCCCTCTGTGGGTGACGCTGGTTTCTTTCTGTCTGTCTTCCAGGGCTGACAGGTAGGTGGTGCTTTGCTTTCTGGTGTGCTCGACCAATCAGCCTAGGAAACTCCCACCTGCCCCTTTTCCCTCCCTGTCAGCATGGGGGCCATCATGTCAACATCCTGACAGACCATTCAGAAGTCACGTGGCCCCTGAGTAGTTGTGAGCAAAAAACAATTTAGGTTTTCCCCGATTTTGTTGAATACACATCAGAGCACCTGAGGCTAAAATTCTAGTTCCTGTGGTTTTGGAGGAGGATTTAAACCCTCAAGACTGGTCATCAGGTGCCTGCCTGAGGGATTCATTTAAAATCCAATAAGTGGGCCAGGACCACAAAGCATCAGAGGCCCGTGCTGCCCAGAGAATTCCCTTATGCCTCTGCTGGGGCTCCCTGGTCGTAAAAAATCCTCCCCATTTTCCTCTCTCCCTTTATTAGCTGAGTCCCCATTTTCCTGACTCTTGTCCCCACATACATGAAATAAATGCAAATTCACCTCCTTGACCCCCAACCCTGGGCAGGCCCACATCACTTTGCCTGGTCAGGAAAAGGAGAGAAGCTATGGATGACAAAAGCCTGAGCAGGAACCCAGGCATACCTCGTTTTATTGTCCATTACTTTATTGTACTTCACGGAGGTTGCTTTTCTTATAAATTGAAGACAAGACCCTCTCCTGGCAAAGATTATGGTTCACTTTATTGTGACACTCACTCTATTGCGGTGGTCAGGAACTAACCCGAAATATCTCAGAGGTATGCCTGCAGTTTTTATTTTATTTTATTTTATTTTTATTTTTTTAAAATATGTATTTTATTGATTTTCCACAGAGAGAAAGGGAGAAGGATAGAGAGCTAGAAACGTTGATGAGAGAGAAACATTGACCAGCTGCCTCTTGCACACCCTCTACTGGGGATGTGCCAGCAACCAATGTATATGCCCTTGACCAGAATCGAACCCGGGACCTTTCAGTCCGCAGACCGACACTCTATCCACTGAGCCAAATCGGTTTCGGCAGCCTGCAGTTTTTAAAGGACACTTTTAATGTGTTTAATACATGAATAATTTAGCATATAAAACAACTATTAGCAATAAAATAAATCACAGGGACCTAAAAGCCAAGCCCAGCGGATTTTCCTTGGGAGACTGAGGGGCTGGTTTGGTATTGAATGAAAGAAGGGTAGGAGCTCAGTATTGGGTTGGCTCAGAGGAGAGCTAGGGACCAAGTTTCCTGAGCTGGCTCCACCTGTCCCTGCTCAGCCCTTCTTTCTGATTCACATGTCAACTGAAACTTGGGACCATATTAGTCGACTGTAATTGGGGCCAGACTAGCTCAGGGGTTCTTAGGCTTTGTTACGGAAAGCCCTTGTGCAATGTTAAATAAAAACAAAACCAAAGTCCCAGTAATAAAAATCCATAACAACAACAACAAACTTATCAACTTGAAGTTTGATTACCATTCCTGAAGGATGAAGAGACACAATACAACATTGTTTTCCTTCTTGTGCTGTTGGTTGCCCAAACAACATTTTTGGAATAAAGGAAAAATTCACTTATAGATCCCATCCTCTAACAAATTAGATTGTTTAATTATTTTTCTTACTCATGAGTTTGCCGAGAGAGAGAGAGAGAGAGAGAAGAGAGAGAGAGAGAGAGAGAGAGAGAGAGAGAGAGAGAGAGAGAGAGAGAGTTTTGTGACCATAATCACATGTAAAGTATTTAGTCTTCTGGGCTACCATTTACATCATTCCCTCACCATTCCCCATGTCACTACATCATCCTCCACTCAGTGATTAATAGCTGTGTGTTCTTCCATAAAGTGGCTATGCTGTGTTTGCTGTGTTGTAGTCATCTGTTTCTTTACTGTGGGATTCCTGGATGTTTGTTTTATTTTGCTACTACAAATGCCTCTTTGTTACCTTTGATTACCCTCCCCCCCCCCATTTTTTAAATTATTGTATTATATGTGTATATGTCTTCCCATTGCCCTCCACCCCACACTCCACTCCCATAATGCCCTTTGTTCCCTTTGTAAACACCAACATAACTATGTGAATCCCCTTCAGGAGATTCATTAGCCGAAGCAGGACCGGAGAGCCCTAAGGGTTAAAAGAAAAAATGGATTCTAATTAAGCAGAAGTGTCTTCAGCAGCCCTTGTCAGAATCACGCCCACAGATTTTTGATGCTAAACTTAGCCCCTTCTAATGTGCTGGCGTCTTCATTTTCCACCTGAACTTATTAGCCAGACCTTCAGCGAGGAGCATCAGCGATGTGAGTTTGAGATCTCCCTCCTCCTGCCTATTGCATACAGACAGGCCTTGACTCCCTGTACAGAGTGCTGCCCGCTGTCCGTTCTCCCCAGGGAGCCAGGTTCTCTCCCCCTCCCTTTTCCCTGGGGCCTCTCAGGGGGTGCTGCAGAAGGACCAGGGCCAGGCCTCAGAACCCCCGAGGGCTGCAAATGTAGTCCTTTGGCTTCCTGTCCTGGGAGGAGGCGACATATGCGGTCACAGAAGCATCAGAGGATGGAGGGAATGAGACACTCACCTGCTAGTTGTGACCTGCTGCCTGTCATTGGAACTCGTTGCTCCCAGGGCACTGGGAAGCAATAGTCCCATCAACGTCAAAGGATGCCTTCAGTTTGGTCGCCATAGTCATATCATTATGAGAATGTGTTGTTATAAATGTAAATATTTTAAAGGCTTAATGTGTTCAATGAAAACATTTAAAATTTTTTTTTTCAATTACAGTTATATTCCGTATTATTATTCTGTATTGGTTTCAGGGGTACCCTATAGTGTTTAGACAATCATATGCTTTACAAAGTGTTTTCCCCAATACTTCCAGTGTCCACCTGGCACCATCCATAGTTATTATAATATTAGTGGCGATATTTGCTCTGTTATACTTTATATCCCCAAGGCTATTTTGTAACTACCAGTTTATACTTCTTAATACCTTCCCCTTTTTCACCCATTCCCCAACCCTCCTTTCTTTTGGCAACATCAGGCTGTTCTCTGTATTTATGAGTGTTTCCATTTCAATGTCAACATTTTAAAAAACATATATATATATATATTTTATTGATATTTTACAGAGAGGAGGAAGGGAGAGAGATAGAGAGCTAGAAACGTCGATGAGAGAGAAACATCGACCAGCTGCCTCTTGCA